TTTGTAAGAAATCAAAGAAGTGATTTCCTACTCATCTTATTGAAGCAATGACGTTGTTGTGTAGTAACATGATTATATGGTAAAAAAATAAAAATATGAATGCTATTATAAAGGAGCCTAGTAGAAAGGTGTAGTATAAAAATAAGAATAAATGATAGAAAGGTAGTAAAAACTTTAGTTTTAATGCTATTTTTTTGTATGAGAGACTTCTATTTATTTTTTAGGTGTATAAATGAATTAAATTAAAATAAATGAGATAAATAATTAATATAGGTATTTTTAAAATAATATTGAGAATATATTTTAATATAAATTATTATAAAATATAAAGAATTGATATTTGGAGAGGACCACTTATTAACCAAAGTCGAAATCAAATGCCAAGGCATGAATTACACACCTATGATAATTCTAAGGCTCTTTGGTAAATCAAAGAGTAGGATTTGAGAAAAAAATAAGAGAGAGGTTCTTTGAGCATTAGTTTCAAGTGATTTATGTGTCTAACAACTTTATAAAGGCTTTGCAAAGTTAGGATTGTTTTTGAGTAATATTAAATTTTATAAAATTCAAAGAGTTGATATTTTGAATAATTGTGTGAAATTCATAAATGATCTACAAGTGAAATTTTTTGATTAAGTGATAGTTATTCTAAAAAAAATTATTGTAATTTTAAGCTTGATTTAATAGTTTATACAAAGTTTATTAAAGCTCAAATATGATAAGGGCTCAGGAATTGGGATTTATAAGACTAGTGATGGTTTCTAAGATATCTATCAATCCGCCAATTGGATTGAAATAAAATTTTATAAAAAATTAGTAAACTTAACTTCCAAAAATCTTGTAAAATTTGATACCTATTAAATAGTGAAATTAAGAGATTTTGGTTCTAGAATATCAGCATCAAGATTGGAGAAGGAGGTCGGCCAATATCCAAGCAAATTTTAGAGATTATCTTCTATTTGGTATATTTGATCTTCTTCAAAAAAAATTATACTTATTGCTAGCTTAGTTATTAAAAAATGTAACAAATTTTAGTCAAAATCAAGAATGAAATCATTAATTATTGAGATTTCAATCTATTGTAGGATTTTTTAAGAGTTTTTTTAAGACTTAGGATTTGATTAGGAATTAATTAGGATTGGATTGAAATTTAGGTTTTGATTAGAATTTGGTTTTAAATTGGATTAAAATTTGATTTATGATTTGGTTAGGATTTGATTAGGATTTCATCAAGATTTGTCTAAGATTTGGAATTTAATTAAGATTTAATTAGAATTTAATAAGAATTAAATACAGATTTATTTAGAGTGGTTATTTTTAGTATTTATTAAATATTCTTTATTATTTTTTTAAAATTTTATTTTTATATTTATTTTTAGGAATTTTTTTATTATTTTTCTTTGAAATTAATTATGACTTTTTTATGTTTTTTTTGTTACTTCTTTTAATTTTCTTTTGAATTCATTAAATTTTGATTAAGGTTGTTAAAAATTATTTAAATTTTATTTAAGACTTTATTACATTTGATAGAATTTTGTTATTATATTTCTACTTATGTTCCACAATTAGGTGCTTAGTGCATTCTTAAGCAAGAATACATGTAATACAATATGTAACATGAATAAAATTGAGACATATATGAATTCAAAGAATATTGGTATTTGGTTACGTTACAGTAAATGACAAGGTTTACAAAGGAAGTGAAGGTCATTGTACTTCTCCAATCCTCACAAAGTTCAATGTTATATTAGCAAATATAGATCTTGAACCAATGTAATGGTATTGATTGCATGGAGCCAACTATTAATGAGGTATTTAGTAGAGTAGTAACTTAAAACAATGAAAGTATTATTGTGAGATAAATCTTAGGCAATTTTTGTACTATTTGCACTAATAATGATTGATTGGTTGGAGGACCATTAATAAAAATACCTCTAAAAGTTTAGGACTAATATATATATATATATATATATATATTTATAAGATCCTTTATTATTAATATTTTATATCTAAATTATTTAAAAATAATTTAATATTAACATTTTTATATCTAAATAAATTTAAATTATATTTTTAACAATTCTAACAATTAAAATCTATTGGTGGAACTGTAATGCTTTCACTTGATATTAAAAAAGTTCCAAAGTAATCAATAAAAAAATAGTTACAAATCAAATAGTATTAGGTATAATAAAAGAAATCACCATTTGATCTTTTATATGTAGTTTTAAAAATTTTGAAAGTAAAGGACATAAGAAATGAGAAGTGCTAAGGTGTAGATCTTATGTTCATCAATAAACAAGAAGCATTTTATAGGTTATTTGCAAGGAAGAAGTTCGTATGGCTTTTTAGAAATAAAGATGAAAGACACAAGAGGTGTGAAGTTTCAAGAGAAAAATAAGAAGTTGAGTTGATGTAATATTATTGTGCAATTATAGTACTTTCATAAAGAATTACAAATATCTTAACAAGAGCCTTTATTAAGATACCTTAATTTTTTTTCAACTACAACTCAAAAGTAGTATCTTAAAGTAGAAATGTTATGGTGAGATTTTGATATGGTATTAGTTTAATATTATATTGTTGTAGTACCAAGGATTAGGTCGTATCTGATTTGCTCCAAAAATAGGAAAATATAGCATTTTTTTAAAGTTATAAAGATGGCTTACTATCTATCTAATTTTGAGATCTGATTTACAAGGGATATAATTAAAAATAGATAGTAAATTAAATAATAAGTCCTTAAAATTTAGGAGTTGGAATAACTAAAAAATAATTAAGATGATACAACTAAAAGAAAATACAAAACTATGTTAGAAAAAAGAATTGAATTAAGGTGGAATTCTATAATAAATACTTCCTTTCCAACTAATCCAAAAACAAAAAAATATCTCCTCAAGTTGGATATGGAGATGATAAGGATCCAAAAATTCTAACTCATTCTACTTGGCTTGACAAAATTAATCATCATGGAAACAAACTAGTGCCTTTTTGGATATTTCAGTTTTATGATTGACACATTTGGAAGAATCTTCTTATGGCAAGTATTAATAAATACTACCAAATTTTAATTAAAAAAATGAATATAAGTCGTTGCAATAAAATTATTATTGCTCCTAAAATACTTTATTTTTAATTTACATTAAAATAAATTAAATTTAATATATATAACTCATAAAATATATAAAAACTAAACTAAAATAAAATAAAATAAAATAAATTTAGATATACAATAGTACACTTATTGAATAAAATTAAAGAGTGACAAAAAACACAACATGCATATGGTTATAAAGTAATGTAATTAATATGTGTAGAAAATAATTATATAAGAGTAGATATGTTTTATAACTAAAAAAATATAACATTGTATAGAAAAAAAGCCATTTTGTAAATTTCTTTGTACAAAAATTTATGCTTATATAATAAATGATTTAAAATAATGTTATAACTGTAATTAAATGGGCATAACCATGCAATTTTTTCTTTTGTGAAAACTTATAAAATTAGAGGATATTGTAAAAGCTTCTAATAAAAAATAATTTACATTTAAATATTTGTTATATTTTATTATTAGATGTATAATAGGTTTTTTTAAATAAAAATATAATATTATTATTATATTATTAATATTATTATTATATTATTAATATTATTATTATATTATTAATATTATTATTATATTATTAATATTATTATTATATTATTAATATTATTATTATATTATTAATATTATTATTATATTATTAATATTATTATTATTATTATATATATATATATATATATTCATTAATAGATTTAGAATTATAAGAAAAATATTCTACTACAAATTTTTGCTCACATAATTTAGAAAAAAAGTTTTTGCTCACATAAATAAAAATTTCCATAATCATTGCTTTGTCTAGGTAAAAAAAATAACTTATTTAACTTTTAATATATTTTTTAAATTAAATAATAAAAAAATTACTTAATAATAATTTTAAAAAAAATAATATTTAAGAAAAATAAGATATTTATTTGGAATAAAATACTAATAACTAATAAAACACTTTTTGAGGTTGTGAATAGATTGATACATAATTTTTCTAGTATTAAAAAATATTTAGTAGAATTATTTTATAAGACAAAAAATTTTAATAAAATTTATTGATTCTTTGTTATACAATAAAAACTTAAATTTTTAGTCTTCTTACTTATAGTTATTTATAGAAAAAAATCATCTCACAATTTATTGAAAAAATATACCAAGTTGATAATGATAAAAGTCATGAAAACATATACTTAGCACAATATTTATTTTTTATTAGCAAAGAATTAAAGACTATTTATATTAATAATTTTAAAAATAAAATTTAAATCCTAATTAAAGTTTTGAATAAAAATTGATAGATTAATTATTTAATAAGCTCTATATTAATATTTTTTACTATAAAAATAATCATTGATACATCATAAATTGTACAATTTAATTTCATACTAATATATTTATTTTTTATATTTATTGATAGGTTGAATCTTTTTATCTTAAATTTTTTTATTAAAAAAGAAATTCTTTTTGTAAATTAAAATTTTTTTGATAATTTTGAAAAAAAGAAAAATCTATGTAATTAAATATTTTAATACTTAATTTACTTCATTGCTTATCAAATTATAATGAGAGTCCAAACTAAAAAAAATAAAATGAAATAAAATAAATAAATCCATGAATTAATTTGGAATCTTCAAATTCAAAACTTTTATTCAAACTACAAAAAAAATTAAAATAATACTTGCCTTTCCTATTACAATTACAAAATTTAAATGACATAAAATTCCTATTTTGAGGCTCTATATGCCAAAACAAGTATTTTTTTTACAAACAAATATGTTTTACTCCTCAATTATGTGTCAATGACTTCCATCAACATGTTACTCCCTAAGAAAAGGCCCAAATCCTAGTATATGTGGAGAGAGTGTGGGGGAGTAGCCAAAGTTTGATCAGATCCTTGGCCATTGGAAAGTGAATCTAAGAATGAGGGATCGGAGCAGCAGCAGAGTTGGAGTACAGAGGTGGACGTCACTAGGGGGATACCATCCGGAGTTCCATCCAGAATTTTATCTGAGAGGCTTCCATTCAACTGTGTGTGGCTGTGGTTCAGGGTAGAGCTCCAACCTCCACATCTGGAAACCATGCTGGTGCTCATGCTCGCGTCGGATTGCAGCCATTGTACCCTGCAGCAGTTCACGGTGGGTGAGAACTCTGCTTTCAATCCCCGATCAGATCGGCCCACACAGATCATGACCCTCTCGGGACTGGTCTTTCTGCTCTCCTGTCTCCGGTAAGCACTTCACTAGCTCTTCTTCTACATGGGTGATTCCCTGCGAAGCCTTGATGCCCCAAGTTTCGCGTCCCACATCCGTGTGGTATATCATTTTGTGTTCTTAGGCAGGCGAGAAGTCAGGCTGAAACTTCAGCTTCTTACGCAGCTGGAGCGTTTCAGTTATTGGGGTTCACTTCTTGCAGTCTTCAGTTCAATAGGAAGAAAGTGCGTATAGATGCGCTTTACAGAAACCAATCAATTTGTAAAAGTAATTATGCCGTCGTAACCAAGTGAGTGGATTATCAATCTTGCAAGTCATTAATGAGTCGGCTCCGAGTCTGCGCGCTACTCTATTCACGGTTTCGGATCAGCATAGGCTCAAATCGTCTTAATATTGACGTGGAGGAGTTGTCACACAAGGGCGTGTTGCAATTGTAGATAGACGTACGAATGCATTCAACTGCTAAGAATCTATGCATTAAATACTTACGGACTAGCTCAGATGGAATACTCAAGGCGTGCGGTTCAGACCTCTATTTGTCTTCTACGGCTTAGACGAACCCGGCTGTGAGCGCTCGAATTGGCTCACTATGATAAAATCCTAGTGATGAAGGTTAGAAGTATAAAAGAGCAGAAGAGTTGAGATCAAAAAAGGGTTAGATTGTGTGTTAGGGAATAATTGAGGATGCAGCTGGACAAACTGCAAGAGGGATGTCAAAGAGTACAACAACTTCTAAAAGTCTGTAGAAGGGAGGATTTCCTAGCAAACTAGCAGGCATGGTTGTCATAAGTAGGATGTTATAATTACAAGTAGTATGTTTGTCTAAATGTTATGGTAAGTGATTTGGTTTAGTTGTAGTATGTACAAGTGGCCAGCTCATCAAGCTAGCGGCTTGGGATAGGTGGCTTCTTCAAAGAAATTGGTCGCTTGAATCAAGTCACAAGGCCATCTTTCAAACCTAATAATATATGGAAAAAAATACTATTTTCTTCAACCATGTTTGATTCATTTTGTCCTCAGAGCGTCTTGAAGAGACAAAATTATGGTAAAGTCCTAACATCACAATGTCATCCTAACAACATTTTTCAAGAAAGACTGCAAAATTATTTAAAGAATTGCATGCTGAAAAAAAATAGCATACTAAGAGAGAGCTAAGATTATTTTCTTTAGACAAGCTTGTGAATCTCTCGAGCTTATTTATTTATTTTTACATATAGTTTTTTTTTTTCCTTTCTTTCTAAGTCCATTCTGTAGCTATAAGTGACATTCACTTGATGCCCTTCTCTCTTATTTTAGATCTTCTTTATGGAGTAATTCTCATTTGTATTATAATTTGTCTCTTGGTTGCTTAGGCATTATTATTCAATATTGACAAAAAGTCATGATTGTTTCTTTTACTTCATTTAGTAATCTTTGTTTATTTTGTGATATACTCGGTTGCATGATTGGATTGTTTATGGTAATGGGATTGTCCGCAAACCACTTTGTCCTCAAATAATTCTCTTCTTATTATCATAGTAACATTCATAGACTTTCTATGCACAATCAAGGCCTTGATCTTATCTAATCTTTATCTGCATATTAGTCCTCTTTATTTGATCATTATCTAAGTATCAATCTTCATTGTTTAGATGCCATCTAAATATCAACTAAACATCATTTAAGACCCAGCCAAGTGTCAACTAATTGCCATCCGGATATCAACCAAACGTCGTTTAAGACTCAGCCAAGTGACATCTAATTGCCATCCAAATATCAATCGTCCTTATGCAATGGTCATCATTTAAATATTAGCGAAACATCATCCAATCTTTGGAGCAACCGTGAAAATTGTAAAATGCATGCTGCTTCGGAGGTTTTATATTGCGTGCACCCAACTACCCCTTAAATTTCAAGAGTGTTCATTTTCATGCCACGTCAATGTCGATGGTTATGCAAAGCTTAGATTAACACACTTATTCAACAGTCCAAACTCGTGATCACATCAATAAGACTGAAGATGGCGAGTAGCGCCACTACAGTCTCCACATCCCCCCCCCCCCCCCCTCCTTCTTCCCCCAGGGTTACTTGTAGAGCACTAGATCAGTGCACAATATTCTGCGTTTTTTATCAGCAAATTATCACCTGATATTGTGGCTCAATCATGCTCAGATGCTCTATCGAGAGAAAATTGGTTCCTGGTTTAGAAGAGTTTCTGAGAGAAGGATCATCCCACTGACTAAACGCTACGATTTGTGAGTTGGAACACATGAAATGGTTGAGGGCCCTCACCATCCTGCCAATCTTTGAGACTTGATCTCTGCGATCATTCGAGTTAGTTGAGAAAATATTATATTCTACAAAATAAACCATGACCTGGCTGCAAAATATTTTGATTACTGCTGATGAATATCTAAATCCAAATAAGTAAAGAAAATTCGCTCATTCAGTATTCATACCAAAACCGTTCCAGGGAAAACACATTCGCACCGTCTGCATCTCGTCACGATGTAATCTAATCCAAAGACATGGACTAGAACAATCATCACTTCAAATAAAATATCAGAGTAGGTGGCATTTGTATTACATGTTAAATACATTTCATTTTTAATATGTCTTTGGTTAAAATCATCGCGCACATGACTTCAACACACTAGTTCTCTATACATCGTCTTGCGTATCGTTCCAGAAAACTGATAAAATCTAGAGGGCAGCTCGATCACATTCTTCTGTGAGCTGAAAGAAAGCGGTAGGGAACTCAAGTTGCCGCGTGAATCTAGCATTTGTTTTTTGGTCCACAGTATTCTTGTAAGAGGAGACAGTGGAAACGAGGAAGATGTTATCACAATCTTGGTCATCCGTTGTTGCGAGCAACCATGAGACAAAATATAGCTGACGTCTTGTAAGCTGGTTGAATTACAGTTACTTCTTTATTCATGGGGTAGTGAATAGCGATCTAAGTATAGTAATGTGGTTGACTCTTCGTTGAAAGCCGTCAGTCCGAACAATTCCATGATCTCATCTGTGGTGAGCAATGCTCTCGAGAGTTGGTTGAAAAGCAGGCCATCATCATAGTCAAGGCAAACTTTGTAAAACTGATGCTCTTCTACCGAAAGCGTGAAATTGTCCTGCACACACCAGATTCAAATTACACACATTATTTTTTGAAGGAACCAGGGGTATTGTCTAGCTGCCTTTTAGGTCCAGTACATAAGTTAGAATGCTTTCAAGTGCTTCATCGTGTAGAAATTTCTAACGAAAGAGGGCATATAAAAAAGTACCAATATGCATTTACCAGTAACGGAGTACACGTAGTAACCACTTGTGTTGCAATATCATGATCGGACCACTGCATTCTGCTCCTTGTTTCCAAGTGAACTGAAACATCGCCCCAACTTTCAAGCTCGAACATCTCGACTTTCTGGAGTTAAAACAGGATCACAATTCAATCTAACACAACAGGAGCACAGATAAAACAAAATCGGTCACAAAATTCCCATAAGTGCTCGCCCTTTATGGAGAAAATAATCAGAAAATCAACAGGTGGAACAGCTCCTGCCTGTAGAAACCAGAACTCTCTATTGGAATTCCATTCTGCATGAGAAAAGGGCACCACAAGGCTATCCTGCAAAGACCGCAGATCATAATGAGGGACGTCTCGACCTTGCTTCACGCATGACATGACTACATAGAGGTAAAAAAAAAAAAATCCCCTCCTTCACTCTTAATCTGTATGTAGCAACGATAGATGAGTAAATACATATTATCACATAGGTGGAATCCTAATAGAATGGGTATTGTTGTACAAGCTTGCGGTCACAGTAAGTTACACTGAGCATTCCACTGTCAGAATGCCTGAGTACCCACATTTATGGCTTGATAGGAATGACTGGATTTGTGACGGGTGATCTCCACATTGATAGAGAAGCACTCTATGCAAAGTTCACAATCAGGGCATTCATGGCACTCGATTCGAAAAGTTCCTGAGACGTCGTCAAAACAGTAGTTGCATTGGTGGGCAGCATTGCTCTTTGATTCTGCTGAATCTAGGACTGTTATTCCACACACACAAACACACACAACCTCTTCTGACATAAGATGTTACATCCAGAAAATTACGTACCTAGCAAACAAATGCAACGCCATAAACTACGGAAGGAAGGTCATTGGTTCAACAGTACACAATATTCTTATTGCGTAACCATCCATACAGTAGGTTCGCAACGAACTGCTGAAATGCACACATATTCACCACTTGAAATTCAGACTCCTAATTCGAACCTCAACAGAGTTGTTTCAAGGGTGCACTTGTTGAACGTACTCTCTTCAGCAGAGAAACTTTCAATATAAACCCACTTACTGAGATAGCCTGAATACAACAGTAGTCATGGATTCCAACTAACAATTCCGGATTCAAACGACCACTAGTAAGGCCTACCTTCTTCCGCTCCTCCTGCAGGCTCATGAAGGTATCCGGTGTCCGCAGATAGCCGTGTCCGCTTCGAAGACCTGAAATGAAACCAGGTCAGCAGACGATTCATTTTTCCCGGTAAGTTGCAACCACATCCTCACAAACCCCAAGGGTCTCCCACGTTTCGGCCCAACTGATCAAGGCCCGAACTCACTCAGGCATAGGAACTGTGAGAAATTTGATACCTGGTTGTAAAAGACTGTTCTTCCCCACCGCCAGGCACCTCGCTTGGCTCAGGGTCAGGTCCCGGTCCACGCTTCGGATTGTACTGCTTTCCACCCAAAGTGAATTTCACCACCTTGCATTCAGGATTGTTGCACGTGAATCTAGGCTGGGTCCGCTTTGGAGGATTATCGAAGTACTTAAACTCCACGTGAGGTGAGTGGCACTTTGGGCACTGTTCCTTCAGGTCGGTCAAGAGTTCCCCCGACGGACACCTCAGTCCCGCAATGAGAGCTCGGTATTCCTCCCTGGAGGAGCGCGCGAGTGCTGTGTAGGTCATGCGTTTGGGTGCTGATCGACCTCTGAACGGGATCTTAGCACGCGGGGATGCTCTCGCCATGTGGGTACACCTCCCGATGATGTCCAAACACGATCCGAGAGCCGCAGAGTGGTCAAGACACAGCAACTGCAGCACAGGAATGCGCTACGTTCGAGTCCAGCACTCAAAGAATACCACCAACGAGGAAGAAGTGAAGGGAAGTGGGGCTAATTGAAGTGAAGGGAAGGGAAATGAAAAGGAGCCTCTGGCGCTGCTCTCTCTCGTGCCTCGGTGAGTGGGGTGGGATTTGGGAACGGACGTACCCATCTTGCTCTCTTCTTCTTCTCCTCATCATCCTTCTTATCATTCTTATTCTTCTTCACATTATTATTATTATTATTATTATCATTAGTGTGATTGAACAATAGAGTGAGGTCGTTTTGTGTATGGAATCCAAGTGTCGGTTTCTTTCGTGCCCTGAAGGACGATGGCATCTGAAGATGCCTTGAATACAGGTTCATTCATTTCTCCCTAACTCATTTTGATTGATTTAGTGTAGATTTTCTGTATTTCGGAAAATTCATGTACAGAAGTAGTTCTACATTAAATATAAAATAGAAATGAAATGTAGCATTACATGAATGTTGTTTCAACAATTCAATGCAAGGTTCGGAATTTACATCTTCAGCAATAGGTTTCAAATATTGTTAGAAACCTTTTTTGAATCATTTGTTTCATAAAATCAAAGACAGCTCTCTCATATATATATATATATATATATATATATACATATAATCAGTTAATAAGGGGTGGTACATTTAATCTTAGTTGTTCTATTCAAGGAGAAAAAAATTAGTTGTATGTATGAAGAGTTCCATATTCTTTTAGATTTAAAGCTGTCACACCTAATTGACGTTATTTTGTTGCGCATTACAGGTAACAAATTCTAAGCATCATTGCTGTTCTTAAATATTATTCCCAAAATTAATTGCAAATCAGATTCTTCTGTCTATGGTGGTTGCAAGCACCATGAAAGTACCAGCCCACAACAAGGTTCTTTCATTAAAAAAAAATCCAATCTTGTTATTTATAAATACTTTTACCTCAGAAATAAGTAAGATTTTTTACAAATAAATTACAAATTACATTCACTAAATCAACACTACAACAGTATTATTTTGCAAAATTTGAATTAAGCTTTAAATTTTAAACTGAAAATCAAATTTTGACATGTGTATATAAGAATTAAAAAGTAAGTGATGCTATTGTTTCATTTCATAATTCGATTCTAAAGTTGTATATTTTTGAATAATAAAGGAAAAATAATAATGACTTACACAGAAATATTAAGAAATATAACTCGAAGTCTACATATGTATACAACTTCAGTTAGTGATTGATTCGATATTACAATGTAATGTAAATTTACATGGGGTTGCAGTGAATCATGGACCATGTTTGTGCAGAGCTTAAAGAGACCACTCTAGAAGCACACTTCCACAACTGAAGCTCCATCTCGCTACAATGCCATGGTAAACCAGCAGCAGTAAACCAATCAATAATCAGCTCAAAAGACAAATAAAAAACTTAGGTACTCTGGCAATACGGGAGGACAATACAAATCGAACAGAAACAGGTGCTCTGGTATTTCCTGAAATGCTCAGTGTACAAAAGCCAAATCCACAAAGAGCAACTAGCATGGGGGCTATATTTTTCTGTGTATAGTGCTTCACACGTATAATGATCTACAGTTCTGTCCACTAACCCACATGGGTTCTCAATGATAAAGGATGTTAGGTAATCAAAGTTTGTTGAGTCGTTGATGGTTAGTTATTACATAGCAATCGACTAATTGTTTATGTAAATGTTGCTCAAAATGCCATTATGGTCAGGTAGACCCTGTACAAGGGCTATCTCCTGTTCCCAGAGAATTCTCTGGTGATCTCCCGTGTCAAGCTCAGTTGCAATGCCTTGTCCCATGCAAACAAAGTACGAGTAACTGGTAATTTCCTTCGTAATTCCTGTTTCATCATGCCAAATTACATATCAGAAATCATTTTCAACATAGAACCGTCCTATACCTTTAGGTGTTAGCCTCCAAACTATAAAAAAACACTAGCAAAACTAGAGAAATATTCATAACAGGACCATTGTTAATCTTTCACCTCAAAGCAACAAAAGATCATAAAATACATCTGATGACCTTTAAATTGAAAGGAGAAAAAATCTTCATGAAACTGACTAAGATCATCACGGATCTACTGGGAGGCAACCTGCCTAGTTCTCACCATGAATATCTTGACCACAATCAAACTCGGAAACGAGGGTGTTCAAAACGTCCGTACCTTAAATGTTCTGTCAGACAGATTTGCAAATTGTTCCTGAATCAACAACAGGCAGGGATGAAAAAAGCAAATCAGTTCCGGAATGTAATCCAAGTAAGCTGCAGCGTACCTACGGCCACGCAGCATCTACGTTTGCACAGGCCCTGAAAATATTTACCTCCAGGTTTGACAAGAACACTGATTCGAGGTGCTCAATAGAATTGACAATCACAGTCCCTGCATCCTTCCCATCCTGCGAGTAAGATGAGAACCGATCTCCAACGGTGAGACTGGATTCGTTTCAGAGGGTTGATCAGAACAAGAGTTTCATGCAATTAAACTACAAACATTATGTATTCACTGCATGCTAAATTCATCCTAAAACCACTTGAAAGCTTAAAAAAGAAATAAGCTTCAACAAAACAATCTTCACTTCATGAATAGCGGCTAACAAAGACAGCAAAGATGTAACACCTGAAGCAGAACAGTGTCATTAAACGCACGACTACTTTGCAATTGCACATTGCCCTCTTCAAAGTAGTGGGCATTCACCTGAAATTCAAATTAGTTAGAATAAACAACCACATCATGTTGTGCAACAAAATCCTACAAAGCCTTCACATACATTATTGTCAAGAAAAATTTCCTCGACATTTCCACTAGCCTAGATAGATTACTCACACTTATCGTCCCTTGCAATGATGCAGAGTGTAACTCCTCATTGATTAAAACTCCCCATACAGATTGCCAGCATCCACCTCTGACAGCATGGGAAGAGACTTGAGAATCGTAGTTGACAGAACAATGTTCAAACAACCTATATGCAAAATTACTGGCACAAAATTTGGTGCTTGTTCAATGATCAACACTAAATGCAAATATATATATATATATATATATATATATATATATATATATATATATCAAGCAAATAGAGGGATCAATTTGAAAAACGAGTTTCATACATACCATAGACATACCAAGGTAAATGAAAAAATGTGCTACTCATTTCAAAAAAAAATCTAAGTAACTTTTCTTGGACGTATTTCTTGGTCACCACCAATTCGAGAGCATTTGCTCACTAAATAGATTAATTTCCTGACCTGTGTGTTTACATATATCTCAGTCTAAATTAAGAACTTTGATTAACATACCGGAAGTTTTTAGGGCTGTAGCTTGAATTGGAGATGACTACTGTGACCTCGAATTCTCCTCCAGACTTCTCGAGGTCTTTCCCTTTGGTGCAATATACTGAGCACTCACCTCCTTGAAAGGCCTCATCTACATACTTCAGAAGTGCTACATCTACACAAAAACTGTTCGACGGACTCAATGTGAGAAGGATTCGAATTTAACAACAAAGAAGCACCGACTCGGAGCGTGATGGATATGAAAAAAAGAGTAGCAGCCGTTGTTGGCGTGTGAACACAATGACAGACACCAAACTGGATTCACAAAATATAGAAATACACAGTTCTATAAAAAGAGTGTTTTTATCCTAAAAAGCTTGAGCAGCAACAAAACTGTAGGACCTTGATCTCAGAATAAACAAGATGTAAAAATAGAACACCTTCTACAGGTGTAATGGCATGAACTTCTCCGAAATTGAAAAATAGATTCTCACCGAAATCCTTCTACATATGCAGACGGGAGCTCCTCATCATCAGCTGGACGCACCTCGGTACACATCTGCCCCTCGAGAAATACGAAATAATTCATTTTCCAGACAACCGAGCTGAGAAGACAAAGTTTTACATGTACGGGAATAGATAAGAATAAGACAAATATTTTTAAATAAAAAACCAATCCGAAGAATTCATTTTCATACCTGCTTAACATGATCCACGACTGCAACACTAGCAGTGCGAGGAACGAGGAAATGAGATCTATCGAGTTCCCCAAATTTTGTCAATAGCACCTGTCACCACATGCATATTGTGCCTGCCAATCAGCACAACCATTCTCAGAAGTTTACACAACCTTCTCCCAGCAGATTCGTGGAAGCCCGTAATCTTGGCCTTCCAAGAAACTGACAAAGGTGCTGCTAAGAACATATATTCAAATAAAGCCGCAGAGACGGGATATTGAGAGGTTCATAGCATTACTCAGGAAGTTCGCAATTGAAAATCTGATTGGGGGGAGAGAAAAGCCAGGCATGTAATGCATAAAGTGAACATTGCCAAGTCCATACCTTGCCACTGCCATCGGGCATCTCCAGAGAAATCATGCTCCTCACATTATACTCTGGAAAAGCTTCTGAGGCAGCTCGGTCGTAAAGTTGGCTATCAGTAAGCAATTCCCGGACGTCTGCAACTCCATTGTCCCTCCCCTGATTAGCTAATGCACAAGACACTCTCATCGGACACAGTCAACATTAGCTAATAGCTCAACAGTGAACAAATGGCTCTTAATAAAACAAACATAACCCATTTTCAAATGATCGAGGATCAGAACTTTTAATGTTTTAAAAGCTGGTATAGATATTTATTAAAAGGCATGGAATTCGACATCTACAAATCTTAAATGTCGCACAGGAGGAAAGTCACCTTCAAGACAAACACCATACGATACTGCACTATATATGATCTCAAGTGACAGGTTAAGGTTTGAATTCCTTTGCAAAGACAGAAAATGTAGTCCGCACTGAGGTGGCTTCAAAAGGAGTGGACACAGGATGGAATAAGCAAAAAAGCTTGTTCGTACTCTTTTGCATTGGAGCGAAGTATCACAGTTTTACTTAGATCGCGGCTTGCTTAGTTTACAGAAAATGGTAGAGAGAAGCAAGACGGTGATCTACTGGAGAGAGGATTGGGGGGGGGGATCCTATGCCAACGATCGTCTACGAAGTTTGTAGCATTTCCAATCGCTAAAGGATTCCACGGAATCTTTTTTCGAAACGGTAAAATGGTACGACTCGTGTCGCATTCAAATGCGAATTTCCAGACGATCCCCCACGGATCGCATCCTGGTGAGGCAAAAACATCGGATCGCTGTAAAATGATCGCGAGAGAGCAACTTTACAGTGATCTGCGCACGCCTGAAGATCGAAACGTTACCTTTCGCGACTTGAAGCACTTGCCCTGGTGGAGCGTTCAGCAAGAACCACTTCCCAATGGACACTTTCTGATCATCTCCCAGCTCCTCGTATTCGGTCTCCTCGAGATTACCTTGGATCCTATCCTCCATACTCACACCACTTCCGCACACTACAAGAATTCAACCGAAACCAGCCAACCCCAACAGCCCTACAAAAGAAACTCGCGAACACAACTCGGGGGAATGCTGAAGAGCACTCAAATCGCTTGCATCAGTGCAACCTCGGAACAATTGGCGCCAAATCCAGGAGCAGAAGCAGGAATGGGGCCATCCATGTCACGCGCGACCTCCACCAGCCGTACGGGAATGGCAGCAGCTGAGACAAGCAGGCAGGGTTCCCGCGAAAATGACAGCCAGCCGGCGAGATGATGATGATGAGCACACAGACACCAACAACCTCGTCATTCCAGAAGAAGAAGAAGGGAACAGGGAAGGGGAAGAAGGGCGAGAGCGGGGGCGGAGCCGATGCCCGAGCGGATGGATGCAAACGCGAAGGGACAAATTAAGAAGCGGACCCGGCGGAAAGGAAAGGGACCAGACGGACGAACGGAGTCCTCCCTGATGCATCCCCTCCCTCCCCCTCTCCATGCTTTCGTCGTGGTGTGTGTGCCCAATCCGAGTTTGAGATACATAGCCTCTTCTTCACCCTCCTCCTCCTCCGCCGCAGAGTAAAAGTGGCAGTTCATCGGATCCCTTTTGGCTTCTTGTTCATGTGATTGGGCTGCTGCTGCTGCTGCTAGGAATCGCGTGTCCCTATGTTACAACTGCGACTTCTGACAGCGAGGGGTGGCATGGTGGTGGTGGTGGTCATGGTGTGTGCCCTGCCTGCCCTTTCCAGCGAGGTGAGCAAGAGGATTGACATTCGTAGCCACACACACCCCCCCCCCCCCCCGGCTCCCCCTATTTCTCTCTACTTCTACTTCTGCTCCTCCTACTATAGTGGAGGACTTGGTAGGGGTTGTCCTGATTGAGTTAACCCCTTCCTCCTTTGTGTCTCCTTCTTGTTCTAATTTCCTTGAGCATGATTCAACTGGTTGGGTTAATTTTTTGTCTTGGTTATTTTGGGTTGCTTGGTTTGTTAGTTTGCAATGTATTGCTCTCTTATCCTTCTCCCTCTTTATCCCTTCCTTTAGTTAGTTGTATGTATGTATGTTTGGAGTTCAATGCAAAGCTTTTCACTGTCATAAGCACTTTGTTGCCAAACAATGTTGTGCTCTCATCCAACATTCTCCACCATTCACTTCCAACATGACCACCACAACCATCAATAAAGCCCATAATATTTAATGGATACAAAATTCATTCAAATCTATGGCTGATAAGAAATTCACTTTTATAATCTTGAAGTATTGTATTCAATGGAGAGTAATTCTAATGCCATCATCAATTCATTGTTTGTTGAAAATCAAACTAATTATGTATGATTTTCTAAAATAATTATTTCAGATTTTTAAAAGTAATAATTAGTTATTATTTACATATTAGATATATTATTAAACTTTCACATGCATTAAAAAGACAAATATTTCTTGGAGGATACTAATCATGTTATTAAGAAATTATTTCTAGAATGGATTGAATAGCATAATTAGAATTTACAAGTAATAGAGCTATTAAGAAAATTTGAAAGGAAATAATTTCAATTATTGAAGGTGGAAAAGTTGACATTAGAGCCAAAGAAGGTTGAGTTATTTTTTCAAGCAACTAATGGAAAATTACAAGGAAAATTAGAATTGCTTCTTGAAGATAAAGAAGAAGATGAAGGATTGACAACAAAGTAAAAAAATATTAAAGATGCTATGGATTTGCTTGTAAAACGAGAGAGAAGGAAGAACAAGGTTAATATTCCAAGAGTAATACAAGTACCTAAAACTCAAGTACATACAACATCACTAACAATACCTATTATTCAATCTTCAATGTTTACATTTAAGAAAGAAGATATGGAAGTTGAAGAAATTATACATGGTATACGGAATCTTCAAATCAAATTGGCAAGATTTTGAAAAAAGACTTCTACAACCAATTTGAAAGTTATATGTAAAGATGCATTTGGTATAACAATATTTTTCATATATGAAAGAATTGCAATGAATTTAATAATATAGTGTAACAAAGAATCATTTTTTGGAAAAATGGAAATATGGCATTAAAAGATACAAAGAACCTCCTTCAAACCAATTTTGGCAAGGAAAGTATGAGAGCATTGATTTAAGACTATTTAATAGCACATAGAATAGCAATACAAGAAAGTATAAGTTATTGTCCTAAGAAAGATAATCACTTTGACAAAAGTATAGAGACAAGTGGATTTTGGACTTTGGCCATTTCTATAAAACAAAAAAGAAAGATGCCTTGAAAAGCATTATTAAGAATTACAGCTATAATAGAAGGTGCAATAAGTTAGGAAGAGCTTGTAGAGGCTCTTTCAATTCATGCATATATTGCTAAGAGCCAACATGAAGCCCTCATAGAAGAAAAGAGGAGGAAACTTTGTCAATATAAGAGAAAAAAATCCTTCTAAAAGGAAAATTCAAAGAGACAAAGCTTATGAAGGAGCTTCACAAAAAATACCTACAAAAGATACTTCAATAATATTAGAAGAAAAAACAAAGAAGACAAAAGATAAAGATAAATCAACAACTTATAAACTATTATTTGATAATATGTAGCAACAGATTTAAAGAAGGTGTTGGAAGAACGTGTAGTAAATGCTAAGATGAAATTCACATTGAAAGAGATTTTAAGAATTGCAAAGAACGAATTTTATGATATTATTATTTATAATATTAAATAAAAGAGACAATTAATGAATAAAGTTGGAATAAGTCATGCTATTGATGCAAGGATATATAAGGATAAAGAAGAGGTTGATAATTGTTATAAGTAATCACAAAGTAAAAAGAATAGTTATAATCAACGAGTACATTTTGATGATTATAGTAATAAGGAAATAGAAGCTTTAGCCATTATACTTGAAAGCATTTAACAAAGGCAACTACATAAGTGTTAGTGAAAGTGAGAAATATAAAAGAAATAATTATTGCTTTAGTTGACCATAGTTCCAAGATAAATCTTAAATCTAAAGATCTTTAAAAGAAGCGGAGGTGGCTAATTGGTATAGAGCATGGTATCAAGGATATGAATCTTAAAGAAACAAATCTTCAATACACTCTTATGTCACTGAAAAGAATTAAAAAGTCATTCAAAGATGATATAGTATTGAATTAAAATGGCTATTGCTAAAAGCAAAAAGACTAGAAAGTCTTGAAACAAGATTAAAAACTAAAAAAGCATTGACAAGAGTAAAGAAGGCTTCATTCTTGCCTCCATATATTTGCTTAATTACGAATTACATGGCAATATCCTATAAGACCTTCAAAACTTTTTGACTTTGGAAGACATGTATCTTAATTTTTAAGGCAAATTTTCTATATGGATGCCACATAATTAGCTTGTTTCACAAGCTATTAATACGTGATTAACTTGTTGACCAAGTTTCTAAATACTATTTAATTAAATCCTAATTCAAATTTTTATTAAACCTTAAATAATCCTAAATCCTAAACAAATCCTAAATCCTAACCAATTTCTAAATCTTAAACAAAATCCGAATCAAAATAACCTAACTCTAGGATAATTTAGAACCTCAATATCTATTGATTATTTCATTGATCTTTCTTAAGATTTTAAAAACTTCTCAAAAACTAAGTTGGAAATAAGCATACAAAATTTGAAGAAGATCGAACTTACCAAATAAAAGATTAAGCCTAAATTTTGCTTGGATATTCGCCAACCTCCTATTCCAATCTAAATGTTAAACTTCTAATACCAATATCTTCATTTTAAACCATTTAAATGCTTCCAAAAAATATTTAAACTATTGGAAATCAAGTCTAATCTCCAAAAAAAAAATCCACTTCAATCCAATTAACAAGTTGCTAAAAATCTTAAAAATAGTCACTAATCCTTGAATTCCAATTTCTAAGACTTCAATCCATAAAAACCTTTATATACTTTGATCTAACCATTCAATTGACTTCAAAACTTTTATACATACTAACAACTAAAATACCAATACATTATCCAAAATTCACCTATATATACACCACAAAACTCAAGAAACTCTCAATTTTATAAACATAATTTTATTTTTCAAAATCTAATCCTACTAAGAAAATTACTAACTTTGAAAATCTTCCAAAAATTAAAAATTAACTCAATTGACATAAAACCAATGCTAAAAAATCTTTTTTAAGTCTACTCTCAAATTCCACTCTCCAATCTAATCAAAAATCCCAAAGTTGCCCTAGGTATCTGGTTTTGTACTTTAGGGTCTGATTTCAATCTAAGTTGACAACTGGTCCTCTTTAGGTATCATCATTTGCTAATTTGAGGTAATTTTTACTTGAACCTATTGGCAACCCCCTTCTAAACATTTCTATATCAATTACTTATCTTATTTACTTTGATTTGAGGCATTTATGCCTTTACAAAGCAAATAAAAGTCCCTTCTCTAAAAGGCAGTATTAAGACTAAACTTTTTATTATCTTCCTATTATTTATCTTTTTATTTCTACCACATCTTCTTATTAGGCTCTTCTATAATAAAATCTATGTTTTTATTTTTTTATTATATAATTGTGTTACTACACAATAATAGATACTTAGTAAAGATATAAGAAAAGTGGTACAATTTCTAATTGTGCTTCATAATCATGAATAAAATCAAGATAGGTTGAAGGAGAAGCTATTGTTAAGAATTGTTTAAGGATTTAAGGATTTTGAAAAAGTACCACTGTAAAAGAAGATTATAGAGGTATAAAAGAAGAAGTAATTTTATAAGATATATGTACCTTTTATGCAAGTTTTATTGGCATTTTTAAATATAGAAGAATTATGTATAAGAAATTTGAGGATTTAAAAAGAAAAGAAAGAAAAAAAATTTATAATATTAAAAAAAATTATCTAGGTTAGAAACATTAAAAGATGATGAAAATATTTTAGATATTTATGAAAAATATAGACATGAAGATTTGAATTTAATTGCATCTATTGAATTAGGGGATGATTATAAAGTTATAGAAATTCATTCAAGGGAGGTTTATTCTATACTTAAATCTTATTAAGTACTTGAAGTTATAATAGAGACAAAATATAAAATCATAAATAAGAAGGTAAAATTATTTGCTTGACCTTTATCAAAAGATTTTATAGAATAAATAGAAGAAGTATCAAAAGAAGAGAATTTAAAAAATCTTAAAAATATTAGACATCAATTTACAAATGAAACTTTTGAAGAATTGAAGGTTGGACGTGATGATTCTTCATTATGAAAAAAAATTGAATATTTTAAAGAAATACTTGCAAAGCAAGATAAATCTTTTATCTTTGGACTTCATAAAATGAGGTGTATTGATTCTAATTCTATTGTTTCTATAGTTATCTTCACAATTCCACATGTACCTTAGAATTTAAGGCTAATTCTTATGCCAAGGACACACATACCTAAATTGGTTGAGCTATCAA